GGTGGCGAGCAGCTGAGCCAGCGGGCCCGGCGCCCCCGGGTGTGTTCCGATCAGACCTGTGTTTACCACTCGATTAGCTGCCCCAGGAGGTCCCGGGCCAAGGGCACCGCAGCGTCAGACCTGCCCACAAACACGGAAACACGCACCGAGCCGGGCAAGAGGACCCACCGGGGTCCCAGAAGCCCCTTCCTGCAGAAGCCACTTCCTGGCGCGTGTGCGTCCCGTGTGCGTCGGGGAGGGGTCCGCCCGACCGAGGGCCCCGCGCCGCAGGCCGCAGCCTCCTCCTGACCAGGTAGGCAGAGGCGTGAAGGAGTGGGAGACTAACCCCATGTCACCCCCAAGAGCGGGGTCTTTAAAGTGGAATTTCCACGGAGGAGAGGACCCTGCACCGTCGCCGGCCTTTAAGTGCACGGGAGGGGCTGGCGGGCATCCCAGCGTGGGGAGAGGGCGGAAGGATGGGCCCCCCCGCTGTTCCTTTTTAATCCTCGGCTGCCCCCTCCCCCCCGTAACAAAGCACAAGGTGGAGAGAGCAGGTCAGAGCCCTCGTGGGCAGAGGAGAGGCTACCAGGCCTCGTGAGCCACCACTGGCCTGAGGTTTAAGAGACGGGACATCATTAACCTTTTAAAAATATGTTTTTATTGATGTCAGAGAGGAAGGGAGAGGGAGAGAAACATCCATGCTGAGAGAGAGCCATGGATGGGCTGCCTCCTGCACGCCCCCCACTGGAGATCGAGCCCACAACCCGGGCCTGTGCCCCGACCAGAATCCAATTGTGACCTCCTGGTTCCTAGGTCGATGCTCGACCACTGAGCCACACCAGCCAGGCTGTGCGGATTTTTAAAACACGCTAATCCTCGTGTCAGAAATAGCAGAGCCCGTGCTCCAGGCCCCGTGACAAGCGACAAGGACGGCATGTGTGCGTGCGCTCAGCACGTACCGGGGACCGACCATGGTCAGCGCTGACACGGTTCTTACAGACAACGGTGCCTCCTTCCCGACCGCTACACGGCGGCCTGAGGGTGCGAGTGACGGCCGCGTGTAGGAGCCTCTTTCTGCCCTGGGTGTTTGCCCTTTGAAACCGGGGGGCGCCTGCCTGTCCCTTCCCCTACACGGCTGCCCCCCTTCCCCCCATCACCACAGCACAAGGCGTGTCAAATTGTCAAAGGCGGCAGAACCGCCCCCCGGCTGGGAGCAGCCTGGAGCAACCAGTTTTCCGTACACGAAAATGAGAAATTAATTCAACTGGCCCGGAACGGACAGCGTGAGCCGACATCAAAGGGCTGCTCCTGCTGCACTGGAGCGCAGTGTGTGGGCCTAGGAGTGGGTGTCTCTCG